ACCACTTATATCGTTTTTGATGCGTTTTGTATCTTTTACAGAAATTGCAAAAAGATATGGAGACATTTACGGTGGATAATCAAAAACTCATGCAAGAACACAAGTGAGTATATGAGGATATCCCTTCCCTCTCATCCTTGCAGCTATTCAGTTTTCCCCGAGATTGGAAGAAAAATAAGGGGTTGTATAAGAGTGTGTCTTGCGTTCTCCTTCTATGGCCTCTCACGTGCTCAGCCTGAAAAGGCCCGCGCGAGCAAAGCAGACTGGGTCGAGCACATGGACTCAAGGGCTTGCTGGTACACCTCCTGTAAAGATGATGTGAAGCAACATGTAGAGTGTTCCTGACTATTGTTTTTAAAATTTGTCGTCTTCTCACTCTGGCACGCCCCCTGCTGATTTTTTTATTCTTGGTTTCTTGGCGAAGTAACACAGCCATTTTTAGAGCCAAGCGAGGGAGCGCGAGACAGGCGCATAAGAACGAGCATGGAGCGGGACAAATGAAATGGGAGTATTTTCTCTTCCCTAACCTTGACTCCTAAGCTATCGTGGTCCAAAAACTCCCCACAACTCTTATTTCGCTCGCAAACTGGAAGACGATAATAGAGGAAATAGGTCTGTGATCAGACTGCATGTTTTCAACGTTTTCCAAATTGTGGTACAAACAGTGTCTGATTGCCTTTTATTTTACAGCGCAATTCTTGAAGTACACAAGAAAGTTGTTGAGCAGAGAGACCAGTACGCTCATGACACTGAGCAGATGAGAAGAAGCGCTACTCCAAGGTAACAATCAATCAGTTACTAAATGCTACCTTTACTAAGTGAACTTGATAATGTTTTAATGTAGCCTTGCCAAACCTTTAAAACTGTGTGGTAAGTAACGTGCACTCAACTCGTGTTCTACTTTATTAATATTTGCAGACCTCACTGGGAGAAATGTGGTCAGTATATTGAAGGTGGAATCGATCGCTGGAACGAGTTGTCACAGGACAGAAGTAGTGATGAGCTTGTGGATATTTTACTAGCAGAAATGACAGGACAAGATATTGCTATTATTCAGGCTGGAGTGAACACGGGTGCGGAATACTTCACTGGACAGGTAAACTGAAAAGAAACCTGCACAATGTGTCAACTCTCAATTGTCTATCAAATAAAATACACGATTGTGATTGGTCCGGAAGAGTTACGCCTCCCTCTCAACCAATCAGACGCTGCAGTGCTTCAGATAGTTTCTTGTTCTTATTTGCTTCAAGTACTATCTCCCATCGCTCTGTTCGGTCTTTCTCCACTCAGGACTGGTAAACTGCTGTAGACACACTATGTTTCCACTCGCTGCAAACGTACATATTTCAGTTGCTGAGAGGACAGTTGTAAACGTTGTTTCTTTTTGTAGGGTACAGGCCCTGAAGTGCCCAGGTTCCTACGTTTTGAGGGACAAGTTCGTAACAGACGGCTTGGGAAGAGAGATACGTCACTGCTTATTAAGGACATCTGGCAAGAAAAGGCTGCCCATGATGCGGAGGTAAACTTACTAAGCCGTTTCTTGTCAGGAAAAAAAATGGAAAGAAAGAAACACGTATTGAGTTAAAAAAAATAATCAAGGTGCATTTTTCCCAATATCATTCTTCTGACTATTTGAGATGGTTTCAGCATTGACCGTCAATCGAGAGGTTGAGCCTGACGTTGACAGCAAACGGCAAACAGAAACAATAAACTCCTTGCTGTCTTGTTTCGCTCTTAATGCGCTTTAAAGAAAATGTCTGCTTTTGGTGTGAACAGGAGCTCATGACCACTTAATGCAAATATTTTCGTTTGAGCGTACAAACAATCCCTAAAAAATGTCCTGATTAAAAATTGAAACGAAACGCACAAAATTACATACATATTAAATATTGAGATCAGTACATATGAAGACCTTATAATTTGAAGTAACGCACCAAAAGTTACTTGACTTGTTAAATCCTGGACAAAGTAGATTGTTTCTCGTTTCATTGCAGCAAATAGATGATGGAAAGATTCCATTCCTTGTTGTTTTCATGTTAGTGGTTGTGTGTTGTCGCTGTTTGTTTGTTTGTTTGTTTTACCTATAGTTCTGTAGGAACATCCTCTTATTGTGACGACAACTAGCGTAATCGAATGTAGTCTTCTCACAAGCAGACGCGGGATATATAGTATAAATGGCCTTTTATTCCTCGACTCGTAGAATTTCAGCTTACTGAGGAACTCGAGTGTGAGTTATGAAATACTTGCATGTGTCAACCATTTCATTTGCCGTCTTTTGTTGTCCTTTAGAAACCGGATGGAGAACGCGATGACTTGGGCGAATTCTTGTATCAGTATCTCCAAAGGCGATTTGGTGTCGAGAACATGATCGTCGAATGGGGATACAATCTTTACGATGCATGTGGAAGATACTCACACGATCCCAGAATAGGACTGTTCTTTGGCATTCTGCAGAAAGAGGTATGGTTGCCCCTTAACACCCTCACATCAGTATACATATTCTCCATACTGTTCTCTATACATTTCCCAAGGTGCAGACTAGGAGAATTTAGGTGGTGATCATTTGCATCATTCACGTGATCGTATTGTGTAATTTGGGAGTGATATTGTAGGGAGAAATTAGATGTTAGTCACTCGTAGGGTTCAAGGGGTTAATTTAAAAAATGGCGCCAATTCCAAGCCTTCAAGGAGTCAGGTATAATCTTAAATAAAATTCATGGTAAATTAGAAGTGTGATAAAAATAAACTTATATCCGCTTTTTATTTTCCAGGTCGACGAAGCTGTTCATCACGATCAGCTAGTGATGTTAGAGAAACTTTACAATGCTTTGACTAAAGTTGATCTGGCAGCAGGAAACCAGGTAAGCCCTCATGTTTCTCGACTAGTCCACACTTGATTTACTAGTTGAAGAGCAAGTATTGAGTTTCTGAATGATTAATACGATTCTCTCTCAGGGTACATTATCCCGCGCAGACCTGGAGCAATGCCTGCGGTCGTTTTTCCCGTTGAAAGACGATGAATCAATTGAAGCGTTAATGAAAGCCTGCGAACAGGAAGCACCGGGAGAGAGTGTTCAATATAAAAATCTGTTTACTGAGGTGAGAATTACAGAGCAGAACTCTAAGCTATGTGATCTAGAGGGTGTTTCTTGTTAAATTCCTTCATAAGGAACTTTACTAAATTAACCCATACATTTTACACACCTAAAGAAATTGGCATGAAGCTCCAGAAGAAGATCTGGGGTGCTTAAGACCGATTATGTACAATTAAATTTATAATTATCTCCTCCATGGTCCAATTTTGGGAAAGGTACACATTAAATAGGATTTTTTTTATTGTTTATCTTTGCCCGAAAAGGACGAGGAAGGGCGGTCTGGTCCATTTGTGGACAAGATCAGAGAACAGGAAAAGCTTGAGAAGACCATGTACATAAAGGATATCGAAAGCGCTCTGGGTGGCAGCAGGCAAGTCTTACCTTTAAACGTTAAGGTTTATCACTTCACTTGGCCACAAACTCACAAGCTGAGACTTGTAAATGAAGTGACACCGGGTAGAAATTTAGCAATTATTGGATGAGGTTGAGCATGATATCATCATGATTCATCAATATCGAGGTCGGGGTTCTCTGCTGAAGCCTAAAGCTGAGGCAGATAACACAGACTCGAGATTTGATAATTCATGATATCATGCGAAAACCGACTCAATAATTGTGTTATTATACATTTATTGACCAATCTTCCCAAGAAGACACTTCTCTCTTACTTTGCAAAAGTTTGTGACCACTACACGAACGAGGGGCTTGGAAACTACACTTCACACGCTATTGTATACTGACTGTCTGCATGCACTCGACCGATTAGAGTTTTCATAACAAGTCTGGTGTAAAATAACAAGAGATATCTTACTTCACCGCAGGGATTTAAACCCCAGTAAAAGCAAATTCTTGGCTTTATTACTACGCTTCAGGGAATTCTGTGTGGCAAGCCAAGGCTATTCGTTTTATTCATGCGCGAATTCATAGCAAATTTTGAGTTCACTCGGTTGTTGCATGGAAATTGTTACGAGGTTGTGATTGTTATGTGAGACAAGAAAATTAAAAATGTTGTTGTCCTTAATATTTCATAGTGAAGTTTCTGTTGAGGATGTCCGCCGAGCCATTCAGTCTGTTGACCCAGAGGCACCGACTGAGATGATTGATAAATACCTGGAGCGAGCGTTTAACATCCCCTCTGAGCAGCAAGAGTCTGGCACCAAGATTGAAACGACGCTGTTAGTCAAGAGACTACAAAGTGGAAGCGTTAGGAGACTGGGCGCCAAACCGAAATGAACAGACGCAGATGAACTTTTCACGGACAGTTTATTTTTTACACCCTTTGATTTAAAAATGGCTGTAATTTTCTAACGATCCAAACTTTAAGTTCTAGGAAATTGTAAAAAGCTATTCAGTGTACTGAGCAATGAGAGAAAAGAAAAAACACAGTTGTTGAGAGCGTCATAATTAGAAATTAAGTGAATAATTAACCTAAACCCAAAACCTAATTTTTGGTTTTAAATGTATATAATAAAAGGTGTACATATATTTAAAAGCAAATAGCGTCGAAACTACTATTGCTGCGAAAAACGTGTTTGTTCATCGTGGATATGATAATACTGGAACATTTGACCGTTTGTCTTACGTTTGAAAGATCATAATCCATCATAGCGTCCATTTATTGATTCAGAAGTGGAACCCCCTAAAAACGCTTTAATCTATCTAAATTACTAGCTAACGGTGAAGACTGGTTTACTCATGCCACAAAAGCATAACTGCACGCAAAATATGCCAAAGTTGTTACGTTGATCATCTAATGCTTTTTGTTCCACAAAATCTCAACAAAATGCACTTCTACGTATGTTATTTCCATTTATGCTTGTGTCGTAGAGATATGTCCAAAAAAAACATATAACAGCTAAAATGGAAATTTAAACGAAATTTCGCCGAAGTTTTAAGTCTGAGGTAATGAGAAATATTTTTCGAATTCATTTTCTTCAGGGTGCAATAGGTGTCGTATGTATTAAAGTAAAATATTACCTAAAACTTTAGGGAAGTTCGCTGCGGTTTTTACACCTTGGAAAAACTTTATGTGAAATTTATTGCAATCTTGATCATCCTTCATCACCCTCGCAAGTCTTTGCTTTATACCCTCCTCTTTTCAATAGATCCTTCTACACTAACACCTTGACAAGGCCCATTGACAGTCTAGAATATGCAGAAGTCTCAAAACACACTTGTCGATCCTTCATCACCGTCGCAGCATTTGCTTTACCTCTTCCTTTTTTATGGGTCTTTCTAAACTAACACCTTGACGTTAGCCATCGAAAGTCTAAAATACACGGAAGCCTCGAGAGAACCTCTAACAACACCGAAATATATCTTTAGGTTTCCCTTTAGCTATAAATCAAAAGGCAAGGTGGTCAAATTAATGTTGCGCGTGATCGTTAAATCAAAAATATAACAAAACAAAAACAAACAGGCAAAAACGAAGAACATCCGTTGGAAATGGCATAAATACCACGCACAGGGTAACTGATCAACGCTCTACGACCACAGAACTGACCTCTTTGGTATCAAGAGATAATGGTTTATAATCTCTTGTTGGTATGCAAGGCTCTGCCAAAACTACCTCTTCTCAGTTCTCTCAGGGGATTTCGACTGTCTTAAGTGCATGTATCTGTTTCGAAGAGCATCTGTTAGTGACAGTTTCGGCATTTAGAATGACACTTCTTGCCACCAACACGACACCTACAACCTCCTGAGGTGTCTCCAGTGCCCTAAAAACAAGAAAAAGAATCGGTCTCAGTCTAAACGTGAGCATAACTGGAAATTTAAGCGCATCGTCTTCCGTTCGATTGTATAGCTGACCTTCTTGTACAAACATGAAACTGAAAACTTATCCTTTCGTATTATCTTGTTTAGAATCACATGCTTACTCGGATTCATGAGCAGAGGCATGAACATGACAAAAGCCCTATCCTATCGGCGCCAGCAACACCCAAAGTGCTGAGCACTGTAAGTTACTTTCCTCTTTTCATAAAAAAAAGAGCAACTGCCTTTAACGTACGATAGCCTCGTCCATCTTCTTCTTCTTCTTCTTCTTCTTCTTCTTCTTTGTAAGGACAATTTGATCACCCAAAGCACCGAAAAAATGCCATGATAGCATCGATGATTTTGGCTCGTGGTTTTGTCCACCCAACCGCCCGTGAAAAGAGGCGTGGATCACGCGCGGAATACAGCTGTATGGCACTTAACACTATCAGCCTTTCTCATTATAACGAATCGGACGTAAAGAGACAACGAAAGCGGAAAGTACAAGTCCGGTCTGAAACTCACCCCAGGTCCCCATCTCGGTCCTCTGGTGGCCCAACATATCTCCGTTCTACACATACTGCACCTCATCCAATCACAACCGTCTTTCTTAACTAAAATAATCTCACATGTTGGACAATGCATCGCCTCTCCACCAGCGACCATACCCTGAAAAAAAAAGTATTCAGCAAATTGTCACCACAATGATAATACTGATAGCATCAATAATGCTCGAGGACATCAATTTCCACTGGTCGGAAAAATCCCCAACGGTTGGGGATTCCACGGTTTCCATTCTGTCCCAATGTTTGCCCATAAATTGGGAAATATGCAGACATAATGTCCTGGATTGTTGCGATATTAGGTTTTTGAGGGACAGAATTAACGAATTAACGATTTGAATCTAGTGCCGAAAAGTTGATGGCGTCCCCAAAGTCTTAATCAAGCTTTTTTTTGTACTTTGAATACGATCGTTGACCATCGCAATAGTCTGGTGAGTGGCGGGGAAAATGAAACGCTTCCGATATTCACGCTTTGTCCCTACGACTCGGGATGTCTACAAATTCAAATTCTAAGAACTTAAAAAATTCTCGAACAGTTATTTTCCCGAGCATGTGGGATTCTCTTTATCCCACTTCATGTTCTCTACTATTTTGATGAGCGCCGTACGCCAAACGCCGAAGTTCTGAATCGTCCAATCTTTATTCGCCACTATTTCGATTTTGACGATAAGTTCGATGACTAGCCGCTGTCCTGGAAGAGCCCACGATCCAGGAACGAACACCGGACTGGAGAGAAAGTGTCAAAAAAAGGGCCTGGTATCGAAATTAGAGTGCCGCAAAGAGGAAGTATACAAGCAGCCAGTCATTCTTACTATTTTACCTCGAGAAACTGTTGCGTTTTCCTGGCCGCTTCATCATTATGTGCCCTTCTCTTGAGGTCATCTTGATATTCTTTGCAGTTCATGTTGGCGTGAATCACTTTGCACGTCAAACAGTTCGGCTGATTACACACTGGACAATGGAAAGTATTGACATTGTCCTCGTACACACACCACCCCTGACAATTTGGAGTTTTACAATGAAAGCTGTTGGGGGCTTGACTTTCCGCAGTGGCGAGGCTGCGGTTCAAGAACTTGTTGAAATCTTCCGGCGAGAGAAGCTACATAAACAAATAAAAACAAAAGAAAAACAATTTACTTGGAAGTACGTAGAACTATCATCAATTATCCCATACTCCAAGATTGAGATCTAGGGCAAAATTTCGCGCAAAGCCGCAAGAAGTCTTGGAGTGTTTAGTGTCGCTCGGAAAAGAGAAAACACTAACTGTTGTCTGAACAAACTTTCACCTAGTCGCTTAACAATAAGGCAACTGCTCTCATATTTTAAAACTGACGAGGATGTGTCTCTTTTCTTTTGGTAATTATGCTGCATGGTGTCTTGGGACTGATTTTATACAAGAACATGTTTTAAATTTTACTCACTGCTTTAATTTCTTGACCCGTGATGGTTGCGTGACACGCATAGTTTTCATCCTGATGAGGACACTGAACTTCTGGATCTGTTGCGTGACGAATGTGTTCACTAAGGCAATCCCTTCGAAATAAGACAGCAAAAAACGATGATCAGAATTAGTGAATAGGATCTAAGAAAGAGCTAATCGTTGTAATTGGCACTAATTAAAAAGAAATAAATTTTATATTGGTTAGTTGTTCGTCTAACTCAACTTTTGAGCAGCGAAATTGTTTGGTAAGGCATGGTACCATGATCCAACTAAGACAAAAGTGGATTTCGCCTGTTTAGTCACGAAAATAACAGAAAGCTTAAAAGGGATTGGTTATCAGTAAGAGGACAGTGTATGCTTCACAAACTGTGATCAAACGTCTGCGTATGCGTGAACGTTGCTTCAGGCTTTCAGAATTACGTTGTGTAACAGGAATTATAAAGTAGTCGTAGGTCACGATGTGTTAAAGGCGTTTGATTTTTTTTGACAAAACAAAATAAAATGGTAAATAAACAGGATACCCGTAGTAATTAAGGTTAGCGTTTGAAATGTCTCGGGTTTTCTTTCTTTCTACGGTTTCCTTTTAAAAAATTTCTTTGAACTTTCCAACGTTTTCCGCATCCTGCGCGACAGGATGTTGTTTCATGTTTTTCTATGAAATTTTGCGCGGAAAATGTGCACGCTGCCAGCTTAAATTGATTCCTTGCGCATGCTCGATGTTAGACCGCTGGATTACGTGTCATGGTTATCATTGGCCAGTGTGAGAAGACAGTAAGACAGTCGTTTAATTGTAACTGTTAACAACAAGTGTGCTCCTTTTGGCTAGCGCCTTTTTACTTTTACCTGCAAAACCTGTGTAAACATTCTCTAAGTACAACTCCCTCTCCGGGGTCCACGGGCACATAGCATATGCCGCAGTCAAACTCTTCCGGGTTGGGTATTAGACTTTGCTGTGCGGTCTGTAGGAGGGTAGTAAAGTTTCTCTCTCTTGCCATCTCTTCTTCTTCTTGCCGCGTTCGTTCAGCCTGAGAAGAAGAAAAAAAAAATGACATAACTCCTCAAATAGGCTTGAAATTATCATCAGACTATCTTATCCTCACGCACGTCCTAGTGTAGTCTGGCAAATTTGCTGCATCGTGTAGCAATCTTAAAGAGCTCATGTCTTGCAATATCTTCATTATTACTGCCGCAAGCATTGATGAGATGGATCAATTACTGTTTCCAGAATCGATTGGCTGGGGTGACACGACAAAATAAAACACCTTTGCCATTTCATAAATACAAACGTTGAAATGATCGGTGTGGTACTTACAGACCTCATTTTCATGGAATCAAGCGTCTTCTTTCCATTTACCAAGCACTTAAGCAGTGAATAATGAACCGATTTAATTGATCTTTACACTTGTTCTGATCGGCATTGGTATTTAGTTTGGTTTTGGTCTTATGATTCTCATACGAGAGGCGTTCTAGGAATTTGGATTGGCCAGATCCGGCCACTACAGGTCTCTTAAACATACTCTAAGTCTTTCTCAGTTCCTTCATGCTCTCATTGAAAATGGATGCTACTGTAATGAAATATTTGTAAAGTAATTGCATCTCCTAATGGTTACAATTACTATTACATCCATTCCGCAATCACTGGCAATGCGATTTGCTCTCTGCAATTCCATTTATTCACGAAGCGCATAATTTAATTGCTCTAAACCGCATCTTTATACTCAGCAAACGACAAAGCAACACTAAAACAAAACAACCAGTCGAGATTTCAAGGCTTGCTTATATAGTATAGTAACCCATCAAATTACAGGAAGATGAAAGAAAAGGCAGCCATTTTGCAGCAAATTTAGCAACTTTACTCCTGTATTTCCCACTTATTTCTGCATTTGGGCAATTAAATTTTGCGATTTCAAGATGGAAGCATTACCGGGGTAATTGAACTACGTGTTGTGCAATTTCGGTCTGAAATCACGCCTACGATATCTGACCAAATTGCACTTCACTTCGCTCAATTACCATAAAGTTGATAAATTTTATTTTAAGTCATAAAAGGACGTCTTCTGTGGTTAACTAAGTCAACTATAATACAACCACCATCGTGTGAAGAAATCTCACGGAGAAACGTCATGGAACCCTCGAAAAAGAACGTAGCGTGTGAGAACAGGCACAATCACTGACAGTGACTACCATTTATAGTGGAAAGAACAGAATTTGTCATCTCCAAATTATTGCGGAGTGCAAATCATCCACCAATACTTCCAGGAATTTTCTACATTTTTAATAATTCAATTTCTCCACGATATCTTAAGTGATTCTCCTTACTGTCATGCCATACAATTTTGGTGAAAAGAATTGGGTATAAGATAAACTGATAATCCCCTTAACGATATTTTTCTTTATTCTAATCGCTAGTTTGCTAGATAATGTAATGTAACAGGATATCTTGTCCTGGTAACTCGTTGGAGCTTAAGTTTAACAGCGTGACCTCACAATGGCGGCCAACTTTTCATTTTTGTGTCCTACTCATATTTAAAGGTGGCACAGAATTTGTCAGCTTGAAAAATCAACTCTTTATTACCGCACGCACTTAAGCTTAAACTAACAATTCTTGCAGCCTTAGTAATCATATGTAGGATATTCACAGGTTCTTTGACAGTCGAGTGCCAGCATGTAAAAAGGTTTCATAATTAACTACATACAATCGTGAAATACAACAAAACATTACTTCTACAAACACTCAACAAGAGCTAAATCAAAGGCTTAAGTCGTTCCTTAACTATTTAGGCAAGAACTGGGACGTATTGCTGTTAAATGTGTCGAGTCTTTTCAAGATCACACATCATTCAGATTCCTGTCGAGCTTCTCGTAAGCCCATGATGAGCTGCGTTTCCGCATCCTAAGGAAAAGGCGGAAAACAAGATTAGAAACATCTTGCACAGGGCCAAAAAATATCTCGCAAGCTTTCTTTTAAGAAAGATTTAATTGGAAAGTAGTGGAAAAGGAAGTTAAACGCTCAGGTGAAAAAACACTCTTGCTTTCTTCTTTGGCTTTTTTTTTTTTTTTTTTTTTTTTTACTTCTTCCGTTAACTTAATAATCAGTTTTTTAAGTTACAAATGGGAAAGCAGTGCTAAACCCTTTCAGGTGAAAGGTGCCATTTTGACTCTTTCCTGTTTTGTTTTAAACGTTAGCAGAGGGTGCTTGTTTCACATTACTGTCAATATCAATCCAGTTCTTGCCATTCAAAATATTTAAGTCATTAGCTGAGACCGATTTATCCTTCACAGACAACCCCTTAACACTCCTTTAATAGACTGAACATCGGAAAGGAAAACCTGATTAATGCCAGGGGCTGATCCTACTAAAATCCTTCGCTTAGACCATTCTTACCCATCCTTAAGTTCTACCTGTGTGTCTTAGGCGCTAGTAAAGTTAATAATTTCAGTTTACAACAGCAACAGCAAAAAAGTTTACGTTACGCGCTTTGAAAGAAATTATGTTCATATCATTTCAGTTTGTCATACACTAAAGACGTTGCTTCAGAAAAATAATGAGAACTCTCCTAAATTAATTGTGACATGCGCGAGAATTCGGCTGTAAACGGCAAAATATAACGTTCAAATTTTGCGCACACTAGAACGAAAGCGCGAAGGGCATTAGGGGATATCATGTGATAACCAGATTTTTTACCTGATAGATTCAGGTCTGAAAGCTACGCACAAGCTCTGCTATGATGTAATTTTCTTGTAATGGAATGAATGGTGAATAAGCAGGTGTTTCATTTCAAAACTTCGTATTTAATACAAATGCTGAATACGGTACAACAGTGATTTTCACATGTGTGTGTTTTTGCAAAAAAGAGAAAAAAGACTGCAGACATTGAACACGTTAGTGTAAACAAAACATACCTGTTGGAACAAAGCTTCCGACCTCTCTTCCTCAGCTATTCTTTGCCTCTCTCTCTCGTCCAAACTTGCCCCGTCAGGTACCACATACCCCTGCGGTCTATCAGCACTGCACATCTCACATCCGGGTCTCGTTGGCTGGTTTATAAAAGTGCACGTAGCACAGGCCCATCCATCACGCGGCCTTTCCTCCGCTGCTAGCTGTGCAGCCAGCAAATTGTTCACAAACGACCCCTGGGGGTCGGGGGAACTGCCGAGATCCCCTTGACCATGCATCTGCTGGAACATGTCGAGTAATTGGCCAATAGTTGTTGTTTGCGGAAGGTTTAATTGTTCGTGGTTCGAAAATGATGACGGTGGAATGTCTTGCACTGTTGGAAGCCGCTCCGATCTGCCAGACGGTTGACTGACACCAACAAACTCGGGGGTACTTGTCGTACGTCTTAACGGCTCTGGTGAGTCGGGAGCTCTTTCCAGAGGAACCCTGGTTCCAGCACTGCCGCTGGCTGCTGAACTGACTGATGCTGCATGACTTCGTCCCAACTGATCAGTATCAGACCTTCTTAATCCCACCGTTTTGCCGGACAAAAGGTACAGAAACACTGTGTGCCCTGTTTGTCTCACATTCAAGTCAAGTAGCGTTTCCGTGGGCTTGGGTATTTTTTTGCCGATAATCCACTTTTGAACTTGCACAGGAAAACTGAATCTGTCAAAAACCTGAAGAAAACACCTGGACAGTTTCTTTTAGAACTAAGTAATGGTTACTTTGAAAATTTATCTTCTAAAGGCACCATTTTTGCAAACCTCACGCTACTTATCAATGAGTAAAACGGGCTTTAAAAAGGCCTCAAAAGCTCAAGGAGCCACAATATTCAAGTTTTTTTTACCAAAATCACTCGCCTCTTGTAGAGTGCTTTAGATTATAATTTTTTCATAAGTCGAACATTACCTCTTGCTTCAGTCTCTCTATTGTCGCCGATGGCGAGACCTTCATGGTGAATGCTCCTCCACTAGATTGTTTATCTTCAACCACCACCCGTAAACTGCGAAATTGAAAGAATTTATTTATTAGGAAGACTAGGAAAGCTTCACTTTGTTTCCTCCACATCTTATTCTAACTAATATATATATATATATATAT